TTGCTGCTACTGGCATTTTACCTGTTTTTAAAAGTTTTGTTGCAGCTTCACATTTTAAAGCGTCCAGTAAAGGTGTATCAGTTAGAACCGCGGCCTTTCCTTTATTCCGATCTCTAGTTATTTGTTTCTTAGGTGCAGCTTTGGGAACTGGTCTAACTGCTGCAGGAGAAAAGTGCGATGGTGAGAAACTTAGCTTTGGAGAAAAATCAAGGCTCTGCAAAGTAGAAGGAACTTTGTTATCGTATCCAGAGGTCAAATTTGTAGAATTGTTTAAATCAGGATCTGAAAAGTAAAAGTAGTAGCCCTGATAAACTCTGGAGGTAGTAGATCGATTTAAATAACCAGCTGTTAAAGTAGTTGGCTGGTTATATTTTATTTCTAGAAGCGCATCATGAGGAGTAGTTAGTAGGTTCTTTTTAGGTTATACTGACACTAGTTGAAGAGTTCTAATAGAGAAAGATGGCTGGTTATCTAGTTGTTCTACTAGAGCTTCAGGTGCGAGGGGCGGTGGCCGATCAGTAACACTTGCCGATAAAAAATCGTCTATACTGAATATGTTTCTGTTAAAAGGTTCTATACCGGTACACTAAAAGCCTTTAGTAATATTTCTGGGTGTAAGAGCCAAAGGCAAAGCTTCTCGGGCCAGTCCGGGTAGCATATACGTACCTATACTGCAGACGCGCAAGGTAGAGTAGAACAAATTTAAGTTTGGTACAGAAATGTTGGTTGCATACTAATCTGCGCATATAGGCGGGCTTTGTTTGCCAGTGGCGGGGACACAAATAAATGGAAAAATAGAAATACTTTTTTATGCATGTAATTATCAAAATTCGAAAGGTAATTAATTTGATTTGTACAATAGGTACGTAAGTTGTTATGCTTTTTAATTTAGAATACACATGCAGGTTACTAAATGTACTTAATTGGATCCACTAAACAACCTAACTTACGCAGAGTATATTTTAAATTATTGTGAGTTTGTCATAAAATGTAGTTTTGGAAAACTTGTTAACTACAATAAAGTACAGGTATATACCTACGTAGCAATAGGTACTTTATAAAAAATTAGCATAAGCAAGTTTAAAAAAAAAGGATAATTTTTAAAAATTGTTGGTTTATTACTTTTACTAGATACTTAAATTAACGTTATAAACATTTAATACATAAGAGGAGAAAGGTACAAATTAGAAATAACAATAAAAATGTACACTATGATGCCTCATCGGACGATTCTGAATCTAAGAATTCTATTCCTAAACTATCAGAACTTTCATCATCTTCAGTAAAGCTTTCTTCTGATGAACCAGTGTTGACAGTAAATTTCAAGGTATCCATGGCTGAGTCCAATAAATGCTCCTTTTCGATTTGAGCATCTTCATACTTCTTGACATGGCTACATATGTTAGCCCACTCCTTTATGGATACATCAGCAAATTTCGTTCGTGCTAAACTTACTACATCGTTTAACACGAAAGTTGTATTGTGAGATGCCACCCAATTTTTAACCAAGGCCCATATTTTTTCAATAGGGTTAAGTTCTGGATGATATGGTGGCAAGCGAATAACTTTATGTCCGTGTTCTTCTAACAGTGTATCCAATACGTATACTGGTGGAAACCGTGGTTTATGTTCTTGAATAATTTTGTATAATTCTGGTTTTGTCAATTTGTCATTAAACGGGATGCTATTCTCCTGTAGCCAAACGATTCGGCTTTTTAAGATTTATCCGACCAATAAGAAAGGGTAGTAAAGTGCAGACGTAGTTTGTCCTTATACGTCTGCAGTTTACTTCGGTGGGTCAACATATTAAGGGCAGACGTGTTTATGCTAATACGGTTTGTAAAATGTAAATATAACGCTGTATACATTCTTAACTCCTTTAATAACTAAATACATATACAAATAAATCAAATACATATTAATGTTCGTGAAAATCCCTATTTCCTAAACTTATTATCACCTAGACCAATGTTACTCTTTACACATAGTTGCAAGCTATGTGGTGCTTTTTTGTATTTTTTGTAAAATTTGCAGTTTTTCGTCCAGGTAACGATGCTCTTCTACCTGTCATTGTAACTTTACGTCTTGATATTGAAGTCTGTTGTACGGATATTTTTTTTTTCCTTTTCTTAATACCGCCTGCCTCTAAGACGAAACTCCAGTGTATTTAAAAGTGCAATGCATGCCTGATATCAAAGACTGATTTGATTTGGAATACTTGCTACAGTTGTCCAAGCATTTCATTATAACGGGTCCGAAAGATTGAGGCTCACTTTCAAGCTTTGATATAATTAAATTCGAATGAGCTGTCCATTTATTTTTAATTGTTTCTATGTCAATATTCTCCTTATTATCAAATTCCATGGCATCATTATTTGCGTCATCATAAATCAACATTTGCTTATTCTGTTGGTTTTATACAGAAGAATAATCATTACAGGAAGAAATGTTCTAGTTTGAGTTCTTTGTTGTAACTTCATCAATTTTCAATGTATCAAAAGTAGATAAATTTGCAATTTTTCCCAAAGCGATTTCATAAAGTATATGTTTAGACGAAAGTGATAAGGTATTATTTGCTGTAAATATATTATGTTTTTTTGCAACAACCCCTTGGTGCTTGCAATAGTGGCCATTAAAGCCAATTGGGCATGAACATTTGAAAACAGACATATCTACGTCGTACAAAATTTTTTAAACGCAACAAATAGTGGGCAAAGTTAAACTTCAAAACAAAAATATCAAATTTCTTTATTTTTGTTTAATAGAACCACCCGGTTTTTTCCATTTTAATGAATTCAGGAGTAAAAAATAAGGCAAGTTCATGTTTACTTCCCGATACCTAAACCTAATAGTTTTGAAGATACTATTAAAAAATGTTACATTTCTGCCATAGTACATCAAAATTTAACATTAATTGTCAATTGAGAATTTTGACTCTTGTTTCTTTAGCTTAAAATTAAACATTAAAGATTAAGTAAATGTATCTATTATACATAGTCAACTTGTAAAACCGAGTTAATGAATAAGACAGAAACATAATTTGTGTAAAATTTTAATATCTTCATAATTATTAGGTTTAGGTATTGGGAAGTAAACATGAACTTGACTTATTTTTACCCCTGAATTCATTAAAATAGAAAAAAACGAGTGGTTCTATTTAAAAAAATTAAGAAATTTGATATTTTTGAATTTTGAACTTTGCACAATTTTTATACACACGCTGTATAAAATAAATATTTTTTTCAACATAGGTTTAAATACCTCTAACCTTGCTAGTAGCCACCTAACAGAAACTGTTTTTATATCCTGAAGGGTATCCTCGTAAAGAAATAATTTATAAGGGTCTGCATCGGTCAAATTTTTTACAAAAAATTAATAACACAAACAGTACTATGCAATTTTCGAAAAAAATTTTTAGACAAAAGTACCCTAAAATTTTACGTAGATTTTAAAAATATATTAATATAGAGGGGGGTTCTATTGAAAATAACAAAGTTACAGTCGACTTCCGGTAGAACCAAAAGTCGGCCATTTTTAAAAATATCTTAGTTAAAAAGAGCGTAATCAAAAACCTAAATAACTGTTTTTCCATATACAGATAGTTTTACTTCGTCGTGGGCACCCTGCATGTTAAATAATAAAGAAACTGTTGCAAAAATAGAAAAACATTGTAACTTTACCATCCTGTATCTTAGTAGTAGATAACATTTATATTTTAAAAGTCCTAAACCTATTATTAAAATATTCCTAATGAAACACCCTGAATATTAATTCTTTTTTCTTGTTTTCGGTTTTTTCCTTTTTTTTTGCAGTTCAAAAATTAACCCAGATAAAGGGCGATAACATTATAATATTATGCCATAATCACTCTGCACATACTTAATAGGTATTTAATTTTTTTAATACACAAAAAAATCACAATTCGATGCTGAATATCATTATATACTAACCTCTACGTCTTCTTTAGATTGTAGTTTTGTTCTAAAACTACTTTGATTTATATAATTGTATTCATAATCCTCTGGAACTATAAAATTTTTCATTGTTTATAAGTTACACCGATGCTAACGCAATAATGCAAATTGCAGACGTATTAAGATCCATCTATGTCTCCAGTTTACGCGCGTACAACTTCTACTTCGATCCTAGCCGAACATTTCCGAATCGTTTGGCTATACCTTGTGCGTCTGCAGTATACGTATATGCGTCCGGGTATGTCGTAGATGGTCATTGATCTACCCGGATTATTTCGCATCCAAGTATCATGTTCAGAAGACATATTTTAAAGGCCCGTACACAGACCTGCCGAGTGGTTGCAACATGTCGTTTAATTCAAAAATCAGAAATAAACACGAACAAAAACTTTGGTGTTACCGAAATGATTAGCAACAAAATAATGGCGACCAATAGATAATCGGCACAGAATACTACGTTTGCTCGATATACCTGTTACGTGTCCTCTCTTTATTACCACATAGTCTAAGGCTAAAACATAAATTGAAATTGGTAACCTCAATCTTTTGCAATACCAATAATCAATTTTAATGTTATAGTGAGAATAATGATTTACCTAAAACTCATATGGATATACATATAATATGTACAATTTATTTAAGAAAATAGAAAATGGGCACTTAGTCAAGTAAATACAATACATATATTTATTAGTGTATTTTGCACCCATCTTATACCTGTCATTAAACAACAATTAGCACGTCGTGCTCAGGTGCCTATTAAATAGCGTAGATGAAGTTATCTATACAAATAAAACCTATTTGTTTTTTATGCAGGCATTTGATCTGAGACCAACTGTACATATTTTTCCGTTACCCGTGTATTAATCCATCCACTTAATATTGACAAAATCGGGCTTTAATTGGCCTCATTAATGGTTTACTTTCTATTAACAACCGTTTATCTATGACTGTACTTGCATTGTTTAAAACTATCTTTAAATTATATTTTTTTGTAACGGTACAAGCAAATTGACACTGTCAAATCAAATATTGAAAGTTTTATGAAATTTAAAGCTTGATGAGCAATTAAAAATTTGGTTCCTGCGCATAACGTCATCTATGATACCTATGTACTTGTCTAAATTATTTCACTTCGATACAAAGTTTTTAATATCCGCAATTTTAATATCATTCCTTTTTCCTTCCAGCATTTGAAGCATGTAACTCCAAAACCTACCGTTTTAAAATAAATCCCAAGCTTCAGGGATGTTACACCATTACAATTACTCAACGTCATTGAGTCATTTTCTGAGTTACCATCAGCTAGATGACCGCCCGTCCGATACAGACCATCAAACCCAGAATCTGTGCGATGAGCTCCAAGAAGACGATGATAGATGCAGAAGCAACTCTTCGGCCAGCAGCAAGTCATTCACGATAGCTGCCATATTGGGATTGAAGAATGACAACAAACATTTAGGTTAGATTTTTTAAGTACCTAACTTAGGGAAAAAATGTAAAATATCTACCGCCTAAAAAATTATTAACTATGCATTTAGTAAGAACAAAATGTATATGTTTAGACCAGATTTTTATGCTATTGATTTCGATGTTGCTTCAATATAGTTATCTTATGGTAAAAGCTACTGTATCATCAGCGAATGTGGATAACTTTATATTTTCTATCTCTGAAATATCATAGATGTATAATAAATATACTACTGGCCCAAGAACACTTCTCTATGGTACGACAGCATATACCGATTTGAGTTCAGAGTTTCATTTTAACATTAAATGTTTACAATAATGTGATTAATTCTAGTAGTTGGACATATTGCATCGGATAAAATTTCTTTATTTTAAATAGTATGCCTTGAAGCTCCACTTTAACGAAGGCTTTTAGAGATTGCTTTATTTTATTTATTCTGCGATATGGATTTGACAGGAGCATTTTTTCAAATAGTTTTTATATCACAAGTAGAAGTGAAATTGGTCTATAATGACGCTATTTCATTATTGGCTTTTCCTGGTGTGGGTATTAATATTACCCAAGCAGTTTTTCATAGAGTGGAACATGTTGAGTTCTAAATGCTACGATTATTGTATTGGTTAATTTTACTCAACATTTTCATGGTAATTTCTTTAGTATCTCTTCCATGAACACATCGAACCCGCAAACTTTTTTAAATTATTTTTTTTTTTATTTCTCTTGGTACTTCTTTAGGATATTAATACCATTTTCTATACCACTAACTTCCTCTAGGTTAATCATTTAAATTTCTTCACTTTCTTCTGGGTTCTGATGGAAGATATAGTGTAATTGTTTGCCACATACCTTTTTCTGTAACAAGGTAAAAACCCATTGATAAGTGTTTCAAATATTATAAACTTAGCCAATAAGACTTTAATGCTTCGTTCTAATGAAATTTTAAAGATTTTTTTTTTTTATTTTAAGATATGATTTTGATATATGTTCAATTTAATAAAAAAAATATTACTGAATTATATTAAATACGTACATTCTTCGTCCATATTCTCATTAATGTTTTATTATTAATTAAAGGTAAATCGGTACATTCCCCTGCTGATCTGAGTGTCGTGAACCTCTCGACGGGAGGAAATCGCAACTCCCTCGCAGATTGCACCAGGTTACAACTTCCGGTTCATGTATCCTCAGCAGGACCAGCCCCCGGGGGGCACTACGTCCCCGCCAACCCTTCTGCGGTGGGCCACCCAGCCAGGCACAATGGTAAGTGTTTTATGCAAGTTTATTTTAGAGTCAGAATGTTTATTTTTCTACTAGAATGCTCGTTCTAATTAAGAGATCAAAATTACAATTTATTAAACTTCTTCAAATAGTTTTCTACCAAAAAATCATAGGTGGTACAAAAAGACTTAAATAAAAGTTTGAAACAATAGTTTCTTAAAATATCCTTCATTTGTGCGTTTAACTAGTCATTAATAAGTAAATAAGTTTTAAAATACTAATTTTGTTGCAAGAATCTTAGGGATTTAAAAGAAAATTCTCAAAACTAATGTGAAAAGAATTACAAAACGATTGATGATATATTTGACAGGTGACATGAACAAATTTACTTTTTTTATCATATTTGAAAATTAATATTTTATGATAATATTGAAATGTTAATGTAATTTTGGGATCAAAATATTAAATAAATAACAAATTATAAGATTAAAAATCTGAACCCTTATTATGTTTGTTTACATTAGTCTATGTATTAGTAAAGTCATATTTTATATGAAATTAAAATGATTTAATTATTCCACACAAAATTTCAAGGTAGTTACTCTTTAGATTTTTATTTGAACTGAGTAGTGATATTATCAAGTGGATGTAATTGATATAATATATACCTTCAACTAGAATTAAGAAGGAAATGTAACACCAAAGGAAGTGAATAACAATAAAACTCGTCCGATCTTGAATTACGTCAAAGTATTACTTGTAAAGTTAGGTCAGTGATCTCAGTCCAAATATTTAATTTCAAAATACATATGCATTTCGCGCAATGACTGGTTCAGCCATACCCAAATAGTAATTTATAAAATGGTGGAAGAAAAAAGCTAACCACCAAAAATTTGATTATGAAAAAAAAATATTAAAGATATGTGTGACGTGGTACATTGACATTGGTTCTGCTTAAAATGCAGTAATAATGTAAGACAAATAAGCTATTGAAACTAACCAATAAAATATACAAGGTGAGCGTTATAAAACCTACCAGAGTCATTAACATGAATTGCGTCAATATGGTGGAGCAATACAATTTAAATAAAATTAAAATTTTATAAAGAATTCTGGAACATGGACTATTATTTACGGTACTTTTGATTTTAGCGCTCTCTAGCAGGATAAAAACTGTTATGTAATGTAAAGTGTGGCACTTCATTTGAAAGCGAGTTGTATTATTCATTTAATGTACAACATAACAAAACATAATTGAATGAAACATGATCTTAAATAATATTATTGCTTTTAAAAACATATCGTTTGACTTACAAGACCATTCATTCCTTTTTATGAAATATAAATTAATATTAAGAGAAAGGAAAAGCAAAATGAAAAAAATGAAGTTGATTACCATATCGTTGATGCGCAAGAATAGTGACGCAACTCAAAAATAGATTTTTGGGGACACCCACTACATCCATTTTAAAGTTTATTGTTTTTTGTCATGATCTTGTTTTTTGTTGAATAAACATTCCTAATAGCCTTATATTCAAACAATAACAAGTTTGCTTTAATAACATTAAGAAAAAATCCAAAATATTATACTTTAGTTCATCTTTTGAGTTATAAAGATTTTCCAGAAAAATGTATGTTACACCCATTGATATTAACCTTTTCAACAATAATGTCCCAATTTGATTTGTGTCACTGTTGAAAATAATGTTCTTAGTTTATTTCTAATAAAACTGGCATATTTCATCGTCATAAACTCGCGAATTTGTAGTACGAGAAGAACGACACAACCGCTTTCTAGCGGTCATTTTTGGTAGTAGCTATATGTCGCTTTTCCACATAAAAATATGCAGATTTTTCTAATAATTTTCATAATAAGCCCCAAACTGAAAATTTTTGGGATGTGTCCCTATTTTTCTGCATATGCATATCCTGGCTTTGTTTAAATTATACATTTCATTTCATATAAAAGTGGCACTGGTCTCATAGTCCCTCATCTGACTGCAAAAAGTGGCTTGTCGTGTTTTTTGGTAGCTATTTCTAGTTGGGTACAGGGAAACAAAATGGTCTGTGTCCCAATAGTAGGAGCTGTATGAAACCTGTCAAATTCAAAATATTGTTTCTTACCGATGGAGTTTTGCGTTTATTGCTGGCAGTAAAATAATTTACTTCTAGACGCCTATAACAATAAAAAATCCCTTTGTAAGCATTTTCTGTTGTCCGGTTTTGCTTTATCTTTATCTTTGTCATTTGTAAGCAAGTAGGGTTAGATTTGATCTAGAATACTGCAGTCTTTTAAGTCTATTGTATTCGCCTGCTTTCTCCGTTTTCAGGTACTATCAGG